CTAAGAACTCGCGAACGGTATGTCGCATGACCACCAAATTTTCAGAGGATGGTGTACTAGTGAAAATTTATCCTCTACAATCTTTATGTCGTTATGACGTAATATGACGTCATTATGACGTCATTAATGTGATTTTATTGGCCAAAACCGTCTAAATAGATTTTTTCCTGAAAACTAAATGGTATTCAACATAACTGTACCAAAAGTGTTTATGACAGAATATTAGGGTGTACTAAGTCTTATGTTGCCCAAAGCAACACCGGTGACGTCATAAAATGACGTCATGCATATTTAAGATATCCGCCATCTTGGATTATCAATCTTGAATTTCAAAAATAGTTTTTTTTCTATGATAAAGCCTAAAATACATCGTAAACATACTAAAGACCTTCATTTAAACCCTTTTTGGAAAAAGAAATGGAAGTATTGATGAAATTTTAATGAAAATAACCTGTATATACCTGTTCTAATGATATAGTCCGCCATCTTGGATTTTGGCCAATGACGTCATCAAATTAGCATAAATTATGCATATTTAATGATAAAATTTACATAAATTATATGGGATGTTATTAATATTAGAAACCCTGAGTAACTTGACATAAAACCCATACAATTCTATTGTTGAAACAAAAAGTACTAAATTTAGCAAAAAAATGCCTGTCAGAAACCCGTTGCCATGGCAACACAAAAAATTATTATCTTAATCCAATGATAGAGAATTGTTGCCAACAATATTCTAGGAAAAGTCACCAAGTTTGGCCGTTCTAGGGCCAGCCGTTCAGGTGCTAGGTGACATCAAAGTTGGCGCGGGCACTTTTAGCCCCCCCCCCCGGTCTAGGTAGGGTTAATGCAAAGTCGACAAAACTGAATTTTCAAAGTCATTTGAAGCCATTGTTTTCCTTGGTTGTGATTCATTTATCATGGAATACTGCTCTATTCGGCCAATAGAGGTTAGGTCAAAATGAAGCCTAAAATGTACTTTTTTGTCTAAAAATAGCAAAAAAAGTCTTAGTTGACACAATTTTAAAGGATGTATGCTAAAAGTGTGAATCTGTATCAGTATATTCGGTATAACTGCCCTTCGGCGTAACACACCAGCTTCGCAGGCACGCGGCGCGGCAGCAGCTATCTATGTCGCACCGAACGACTTGTTACACTCAATCTTTGCCCATTTAATTCTAATGATGATGCCCGTACTGTGCTTGGTGGCAACGAGTTCCAGTCTACGATAGTTCTTGGGAAATACGGATTTTTGAACACCTCCATTCCCGGTTAATAACTCTGATATTTGTAGGCAAGACTGCTTCTTGCTGTTTTCTGGGCTGGTATCAGATACTTAATAGTTGGTACGCCCATCAGTTTATTAGTCATTCTGTACATTATGCATAGTCTGGACATTTTTCGTCTCCTACTAGCTCTTTTTACGTTTGCCGCCTGAGCCGCCTGTACTTAAAAATGATGTGAACTAGCTCCTAATGAGCATCAATTCTGGTTATCTTTTCCTAAACTATCTACATGCCAACAGTGACAATCCCAATGTACATGTGTATGTAGTATAGCATAGCTAGATTTCAAATTTCAAGACCTTATCATCACTTTATTCAAAGAAAAAAAACATTTTTTTTGCATACGATTTTGTTGTGCAAAAATAAAACGGCGGCAAACGACAGCTTTTTATAAAAGCACTTGTTTCCTCTAATAATAGGGGAACACTTGGCACATGTAGGGTGGTAATAACTTCCAAGAAGACCTTTTTGGTGGCTGCAAAGACAGTATCCCTCTAGTGTATTTGAGTGCTGAGATGTTGTGACCGCGCGTTCCCCGCGATCGGAAAATGTGATCCGGTATATAAAGAGGCGACATTTCCTTTTGTATTTGTTCCTTTTTTTTTCGCTAACTAAAATCCATCGCGAACTCTTTATTTACCCCGTTTCGTGAAATTTAGTCGTCTTAAACATAGATTCATTTTCAATATTCTATTTTCTTAGTCGTGAAATATACCGACAGGCACATGAATGTACTGAAAACATCAGTATTAGTTCGTTGGTTATTTGCTCAGAAATGACTCTAAAATACAGCAGAGAGACTCTCAATTTTAAAATTTTTCTGGGGGAGGCCCCCCAACCCCCCCCAACGAGAGGGGGGCTTCCCCCCTCTCGCGCTCTCCCCCCGCTGACGCGCTGCGCTTACGTGGCCTTCGGCCACGTCAGGTGTTGCGCCCTCCCGTTCACAAATTTCTGGATCCGCGGATGTCTACCAGACAGTTAGCATTTGGAAGATTAGGGCGGTAAGCGGTTGTTTAAGGCCGTGTGTACCAGTAGGGCTTAGTGGTTCTTGCGTAGTGACTTTACATCTTTTCATCCCAGACGTGAGTGAACGCTGATAGAGTTGGGTGTGGGGGCGTAGTAGCTTTTGTAGTTTCTCTTACTAGTTTCCGTACAGAGTTCCAGACAGTACAAGCGGATATAATGTGTGGCAGGAAGATGTTTTTGTACAAAGAGAGTGTGTTGAAAGAAAGGTGATCGTCTGTGTTTGCACAAAATGGCATTTACTTGACACTTCCAGTTTATGTTACGGTAAATTAGCACATCTAGCTATAGGTATTTGTACATGCTGTTACAGTTGCCCCATTGATAGACAACTGTGGGCTTCTGAAACCGTTTAAGCGTTTGCTTTGTCCGTTCCAAGGAGCATAAATTTGCTCTTTTCACGCCCCAAAGTTACTGATTATGAATTTGCTACAAACCAATGTGAGAGAGTGTGAACATTTCTTCTACGCTGCTGACATTCTTTGCATATTTTTTTTGGTCCTGTACCTTTTTTGTATTAAATATAAATGAAGAAATATCACCCCGTAATCAATTACCGGGTCACATTGCGTTCCGACTGAAATCGGAATGCATGGAATGCAGTTCGAAACTACCTCCAGGGGTTTGGAATCGAGCCGGTTTCGATGTGATTTGTACGGAGCCTTATTATTCCTGCTTCGGTGGGTTCCTACTTCAATGAATGAATGAATGAAGACCTTTATTGTACACTTGTGTTCTACAGAACTAAGTACAGGTCGCATGGGTACAGAACATGAACATAAACATTATATACATTACATACATATGAACATATAGGAGTGTAAATAAATGTCTAATTTCTATTCTATTCGGCTTCATCTCGCTTAGTAGTGATTGTATGGATATATGCGCCTGTGAGATTACTTAGATTAGGTTTATCAAAAGTTAAAAGGAATACAAATTTCTCTTTACTAGTCAAATATCTGAAGTGGGGGAATACACTTAATACATGGCTAAAAAATATGAGTCTATCTCTACTATAACAAGGGGCAATCTATAGTGAAATGTATTTCATCTTCTATTTGGTCTAAACTACAGAATTGACAGGTTCTTTGTTCTAGAGGAGTGCGGTTATGTCTTCCTGATTCGATTCGTAATTTGTGACAACTGATTCTTAGTTTTGTAATGGAGGACCTGTTCAATGCACTCCCACGAGCTTAAAGCAATATTACGAAAGCTAGTGGATACTAGCTGAAACGTCTGACGTTTTCAGAATCATATCCAGTTGCTTGAGTAACTGTTTTTTGGCGTACAATATTATGTAAGATTTTCACTATTTTAAACATTGTTGGATTACACATTTCATCGCGCTATGAGGCTACATGGATTCATAATGACGTTTGGGGAGTAAAAGATCAACGTCTCTATGCCGCAAAAACGTGTTGGAAAACTGACAACTCCTTGGCGCTGGCGTGGATCGCGGCCATGTTGTTTGTTTACATTCCTTTCAGGGGCCTCTTAAAAATACAGCGGGCCCGGCGCAACTTATTCTCGCGCTGCGCTGAGTCGCCGGAAAAGCGAAATAGCGACGCTAATATGTTGAAAGTTTTTGAAAATGACAATCTAGATGATCAAATTTCAATAATATATATCTACAGTTTTGGCGCAAAAATCTTACTTAATATGGCTTTGATATAGTTGTGAAGAAAAGGTTAGTGTGAAGGGATCTAAAAGCTGAATATTGTTCTTACAGGTTTAGGAGCAAATGATGATGCCGACAAAACAAAATGCTTCAAAATTCACAAAAAGGTGTGGGTAGCTATCGACATTGCGTTCGGCGTGGCCACTGTCGTAATCCTGGCGTATTGTGCAGGTCAGACTTTTTGTGCTGCTGTACTCTTCTACCAGCAGATTCGGTAAGGCAATCAGACTTTATCCGCCTGTATCCATCGTCCACCCCACGAATCGAAGGCTTCAAACCTTTCAAATCTAATTACTCTGACACATTTTGGCCGATTTGTAAGTAAGTGCGAAGTTTTCGGCAGGAGTTTACTACCTCCTGTTTTTTACCCACACACTGTGGGGCGGACGATATGGATACAGGCGGCCAACATAGAGTCCCCTTGCCCCACTGAATCTGCTGGGAGATTATTGTTGTACGTTGTTACGTCAGTGTTGTTACACGTCATGCTTATTATTATCAGGAAATCCCGTCTCGAATTTGCTACATGTGCGTAATCATCTTTTTTTTAATTTGCAGCTACAGGGTTACTTGGGTCTACTGGAGAAAAAATATCCCTGGGAATGGATGGTCAGGCTGGGTTACCTGGGTCTACTGGATCTCCTGAAGGAAATGGTTCTGTGGGAATAAATGGCCAGACTGGGTTACCTGGGTCTCCTGAAGCAAATAGTTCTGTGGGAATGGATGGTCAGGCTGGGTTACCTGGGTCTACTGGGTCTCCTGGAGGAAATGGTCCTATGGAAAAGGGTGGTGGTCAGGCTGGGTTACCTGGGTGTACTGGGTCTCCTGAAGGACATGGTTCTGTGGGAATGGGTGGTCAGACTGGGTTACCTGGGTCTACTGAAGGAGATGGTCCTGTGGGAATGGATGATCAGACTGGGTTGCCTGGGTCTACTGGGTCTCCTGAAGGGAACGGATCTGGATCAAAGGGCCGCATGGCGCTGAGCTGCGGAATACAGTGGGTGATGATGGCAATGGGTGATGGGGCTAAAATAACCTGGTCCATTGGGTCTCCTGACGAAAATGGTCCTGTGGGAATGGATGGTCAGGCTGGGTTACCTGGGTCTACTGGACCCTCTGGGAATTCAGAACAAGGGGATGGGAACATGGGAATGACCGGCGCTGCAGCTGTAGCTGCGTCTGGGCCTCAGGAATCGGTCAGCCGAAAAGACCAACTGCCCCAGAATGCAGGTGAGACATTTTATTTGTAATTCTCTCGCAAAGCTGCGACAGTGGCCTTTGAATATAACTGTACCAGACAAGACATTAGATTTAAGCCGTTTATTACCTCCATTAAAAATGGAGTTATTGCTTTTTTGGTCTCCTTTGGATCCGGCACAATTGCTCGAGTTTGATCGATGGCAAGTGCACAGTCCAAGGTGTTACATGGATACCCAGTGCAGTAGCTTCCGGTGATGGTAGCACAAGGTCTTTTTAGTTATTGTTCTAGTTTATCAAGATGTATGATACAAGGAGATATAATACAGAAACAAAAGACATGTTGGCTGAGATATCATGTTTTTTTGCTTACAACATTTTTATGTCCTCATAATTTGAAAATGAAGGAATTTGTTTTGCTAGCCGTCTTTTTGCGACCCATCGCATTAATTCATTGTGGAGTCTGCAGAGTGTGTCATTCTTAGAATTTACTCGCTGTGGCATAATAAATAAAAATAAACAAGAAGCCATAGGTGACAATCCTCCGTGAAGTTTTATATATTTCAACAAAATCCCAAGCGTCAACGCCAGACCTACTGTGCAGACATTATAATTAGGCAACGGTTAATACAATGAGGGCGCGTCACAAGCATAAAACATACAAAGAGCTAAATCGATTACTGCACCCAGGGCGTGTAAAGATACTGTGCTTCAAGTTCGAAGTTCATTTTAATTACACACACACAATCATTGCATTCACATAAAGATCGGACTATCATGGTCGTGTCTAGTAACAAAGACGGCCCCACCGTCTTACCGTGCCTGTACCTAATTAAGCGCGCCTGGAACAGGCCAAATTCCAGCAACAGTTGCGGTAAGCACCGCGAGTGTTACTACCGCCGGCCAGATAACCAGGATATCTGCTTAGAGTACCTCTGCTACCAGACAACTGCCTAAACCTACGGCCTATTCCACAGGATTGTAAAAGTAGGGATGTTTCTAAAATATGCATTTACTTCAATATCAAAACAGCTACGGTAAAAATAAAAAGACGTGCATCATCCCGGACATAATGCCACACCACATGCGAAATTACACAGAAATGCGACGTACAGAAGAATGCGTTTTGGCTGCGAACATCTTCCAAAAAACTTGGCATCTCTTAAGCATGGGCAAAAACATCTGGAACCACTTATGAAAACCACCCCGTATCTGCATGAAGTTCCACCCCCCACTGCTATTCCAAACAACGCGTTTTTCTGGACCATTCCAATTCGCCTCGTAATTGTAGGGGTGCGTCTGCAATATTACATTGACCGCGAAAGCAGCAACGGCAAAAATACACATTCGTGCATCAACACGGGCATGCCCGCAGACGGCGTATAAAATTGCGTGCCGATTACACAAAGAGAATCCAGTGTTTTGACTGCGAACATGAAAAATCAGCCGATCACAACACTCCGTCCGGAGGTCCTGACCTCCTTCACAGAGTAATAAAATTCACAATACTAAATCGTTGATTTCTTGTTTTATTTGAGTCTATAGTCTACCCATATTACTTCGGTTAATATGTATTGACTAATAGATAAATACATATTATAATACATATACATAAATACGTATTTTGATCAATATCATTTCAGGTTTTTTTATCTTATCATATTGCGTCTTCTAGTGATTTTATTACCTCCATGAAAAATGGAGGTATTGTTTTTGGCGTGTCTGTATGTCTGTGTGTCTGTCTATGTGT